ACATGCATAAAAATCACAACATGTATCTGATACAGTGATGTTCATGTTAATGCATCACTAATTATATGTCATTTTAATTGTAACAAAATATGTAATTATATATGGGTAGGGTGGCTGTAGCTCAGGTGGCAGAGCAGGTCAGCCACTAACCAGAAGATCGGTGGTTCGATCCCAGGCTGCCTCCTAGCGTATGCCAAATATCCTTTGGCAAGATACAAACCCTGTGTTTGCCTACTGGTGGTGGTCGGTAGCGCCAGTGTCCGGCAGCTTCGCCTCTGTCAGTGCGCCCCAGGGCAGCTGTGGCTACAATGTAGCTTGCCGTCACCAGTGTGTGAATGGGTGGATGACTGAATGTAGTGTAAAGCGCTTTGGGGTCCTTAGGGACTGAGTAAAGCGCTATACAAATGCAGGCCATTTACCATATATGGTCTGTTCTGCATAAAGGCTTTTTTTCAGTAATTTAATCTCATTTTAAACATAGTTTTGCGATATTACTTACAAAAATAAATCAAATGCAGACCTTTATTTCTAATGTGCTGATGCTTTACTTCTCACCTGCTTTTGTTCCTTTTCACCAGTTTCTGACATTTTTCTCATTGCTGAAGACCATAGAACAGCTTATGAACACCCAAAACACTACAAATAATCAGAAAAAACTGCAACTCACCGAAAACTTTTATTTTTGTGTGTGAAAATGAATTTTTGGTGGATCACCAAAGTAAAAAAAGGGTTCCTGTGTAATCCAGTGAACTTTGTATCTTCTACTGGTTTGGTACCACATGTTTCCAGTTACACTGAATATCTTTTTATATATCTTACTGATGTTGTATATCAAAGGAAAAACTCTTCAGATGCTCTACATTCTGTATTATTAGCAAAAGAAAAAGAAAGTAATGCACAGTGGTAAGATTTAAAAATGAGAAAGTACACAACACAGCAGAGGAAACACGTGGTCTACCAATGCTGAAAATTCACATACTGTAGAATAAAAACTGTCCTAACAGTGCAATCGCTGAATATCATCCTGATCAAGCTTTATCAACTAATCACAGACCAACTATTAACCTGCCTGATTATCAAAAGTTCATGAAAGAATAGCTGTCAAACAGTTTACTGATCATTTGATGAGAAACGATTTTGTAAAGTGTATCTGTCAAGACATAGAGTACATCATAGTACTTTGATAGTACTTTGATAGTACTCACTGCATTCCATAGTACAGTTGTACTTTCTGCAAACAATTTCCCACGTGTGGGACTAATAAAGGCTTATCTTAGTACAGAGGCAGCACTTCTGGATGATGCTCTTCTGGCCTCTGACAGTGGACTGTTACACCTGCTAACCACTATACTTTACTACAGAGGTCAGAACATACTGTGGGTGTTAAAGTAACCATGTTGGAGTCATATTTGTCTGCCAGAGTCCAATTTGTGCTCGTAAACAGGGAGTGCTCTCGAAACACAAACATTAGTCCCTGAGTTGGTTCTGTGATGGGACCAGAACTTTTTAAAGTAAACCTTTCTTTAGGCAATGTTATTAGAAAACACTGCATACGTGTGCATTGCCGTGTAGATATTACAGCTTTATTTATCCACGAAGACAGATGATAGAGTCATGTTGTGAACACATAAAGGCCTGGATGACCTGTCACAGTATTACTGTGTTTGGTCCTAAAATAATCTTTGACACATGATGTCTAACAAGATTCTTTAGACAGTGTTGGTTTGGTCTTCAGTAACACTGTGAGGACTCTTGGAGCATTTTTGATCAAGATATGTCCTTCAAAGCACACATTAAAGAAATATGCAGGACTGCAGACACATTCTCTACTTTTAAGATTAGATGTAAAAGTTTTCTTTTTGATAAAACGTATATTCAAGGCTGGATCAGATGACCCTGAATCCTGCTTTAGTTTTGGTACAATGAGACTAGAACATGCGATAATGTTTCTTCTTCATCCATCTCTTTTCACTCTGTGTGTTTATACACCACTACTGTATTTAATCATTAGCAAATGTCAAACTCTCTCTCTCTCCTACAGTTTGTCTCTCCCTCCTTTAGCCCCAGTGGGTTGTGGAGGATGGCCCCTCCCTCTGTGAGCCTGGTTCTGTCCTCCTGTTAAAAGGGAGTTTTTCCTTCCCACTGTTGCCAAGCGCTTGCTCGTATAGGGGTCATGTGATTGTTGGGGTTTGTTTGCTTTTTCTATTGTAGACCTTTACAATACAAAGCACCTTGAGGTGACTGTGAATTATGAATTTGCACTATATAAATATAAATGAAATGCTGTGAAACTCTCATGAGTCTAGTATGAGACAAAAGAGAGGAAATGTACTTTTTTCTCATATTAGATCTGCATCAAAATGAATTTTATGGCACACTAATCAGAGCGTGTGCCATCATTAATGCTCATTATTTCAATAAGGGAAAGTGAGCAGGCCTTACCTGAGCAGCATTACTGGACTGCTTCATGACTGGGGTGCAGTTACCTTTACGTCCAGATGAGGGCGACACATCAAAAAGTAAAAAAAAATAAGACCTGCAGCAGAGGAAAGCAGCAGCAGCAGTGGCTGTGAGAGACAAAAACAATAGCACATGTGAATCCTTTAAAAGACATATTAGGACGCTTTATGTTAATTCCTGAAATGGGATTAGAGCACAGCGGAGTCAGGGCTTCTCTGGTGTTTGGACACAGGAAGCAGCGTTTCGGCCCACATGGCCAGACTACCAACCGACAGCTGAGACGGAAGCAGGGGGTTTGCCAACTGTCTGGCTCATTTTCTAGTAGGCCTGCTTCCCTCAGGCCACTCACAGCCAGTGTAGGAACATGTCCAACACTGTCAAATATCAGCACACTCATACACACAGAGTAATGCGCACACACTGATGAGGGGTGCTTAATTTGCCTTTTGGGGATGCTTGTAAAAACTCCATCTTATATAGATTATTGTGGTTTATGTTGTTTGTTTGTTTTGTGTTTGCTCCGTATAAAAATGAGAAATGATGACTTCCGTTTGATCTATCAAAGGACTGAGACGGCTCAGCCATTACAGTTACCTCACTTTGCCTAATCTCTTTACCAGTAAGTGTTGTTCATCATCATATCTCTGTCAAGCATGAAATGGATGCAGTATTTTTTAAAATGCTTAAGAAAAATATGGATTACAAAATTAGATCGCCTTTTACCTTGCAACGTGTCAGGGTTAGAGTCTAGACAACAACCATGCTATTTTAAGGAAACTGCAATGCAGAAATACACGGGGGAAACTTTATGTAAAAAGATAACAGCTTCTAATTTCTGAAAATATGCTTACTTGACATGTTTAGGATGAAAGCCTGACCCTACACCGGTCTTCTTAGACCTGGTCGATGTTAAGAAGTTGACATACAGGTCGAACAAAAAATGATCTTTATATTTAATCAAAAAAAATCTCATACATATACAGTGGGGGTTAGTATATAACCTGCTGAGGCCTGTGTTCTCAGAATCTTTAACCCAAATCTACTGGGATATGTGATTACTGGCTTATTATATTATTATATATTATCTATATAATATTTTAATTTTTTCTAATTCTTCTTTGACAAAGCCTGACACAGTGACCCAGCATCTCTTTGGTGTTTGAAATATGATGCAATGATTTTGTTCTTGGCTTTGCTGTAGCGATTATTAATTATCCCAAATGCACGCAGGCTCATCCACCCAGTCAGTGTGGAGAGGATGAATGTAAGAGCTGGGCATTTCCAGCCATTGCAGATGTGACATTATAAAATGCACTTCAGTGCAAAATGACACAAACAAAGCAACAAAATAATACTAGAGTTGTTCAGTGTTATGGTGCTGTACAGTCAGACAGGAAGGAAATCTCTGTACCTGCCTGTGTGCATGGATGTGATAGTATAATGACTGCATGTTGAATTTACTGCTTCATCATCATCAACCTTAAATGTAAACTGTTGTTAGCCTCTGCTGCCGTGCAGACGGGCTCACATCCAGACTTCCCGGCTTCCCTTTCTTCGGCCTGCTTTTATTTGTGCGTCACCTGGCCTCGCCACCTGTTGCAAGAGGAAACCAGAGGTGAGGCTTCCGGTGAGCCCAAACGCTGTCAGGTTTCAGGTTGGACTCCCCCTCCAGTGTCAGCTGAGGAGCCAGGACTCATGATAAGATAGATAGAAGAAGAATAATAGCAAGAATGTATAAAAATGTATCTGTATAAGGAGGGGGCTAACTTACCTCCTCTTGTGTCCTCCTCTAATCTGCTTCATCGAGCTCCTTCTTCCATGTTCTCCCACAAACATGCACAATAAACTTGAGCTCCTGACTGACTGATTCTCCATCACCATCTCCGTTTTTGTCTCTCTTCCAGCCCGCCTGACTGCAGCGCTCCTGAATAATAACCCCATCTCCCTCTCTCGCTCGCTTTCTCTCCCTCCTGTTTAAAATGCTGCTCACAGGCGCGCTCCCGTGCCGGGTTTTAAGCACACACACATCCCCCTCTCTCTCTCTCTCTCTCTCTCTCCACACGGACCTCGGGGACGCGCTCGTCCGTGTTGCGCAGGTCCGGCCCGCTGTGACTCTTTCGCAGTGCTGCTTTTATTTTCTTAACGGCGCCAAGTCCACCCGCATGCGCGCACACTCCCTTCCTCCGTCTCCATCAGCGCTTTGATCTTGACCCCCCCTCCCCCCCCACCCCACGAGCTCACACAGGGTAGGAAATAAAAACAGGTGAAGCCTCCTTTTATTACATTTAAGAATAGAAAAATAATAAAACAAAAAATCTGAATCTGCTCGTAAATATTGAGCAAATGCAGCTGTTGCAGTGTTCGCTCACCCTAATGGATCTGGTTCAAGGTCTGGAGTATCTTTTTTCTCTTTTCGGTCTATGTGAGCGAGCCCCCCTCCTCCTCCTCCTCCCTCCCTCCCTCCCTCCCTCTCTCCCTCTCCCTCCTCCCTCCCTCTCCATCTCTGCATTCTCCTCTTTTTAGTCGTGTGGGAAGCTCCGTGAATGCGGCTGCAGAAGGAGCCAGCATACTTATGCGCCTGACACGGATACTGTTCTGTCTTTACAGGAGGGAGAGAAACACAAGCTTGCTTTTCTCCGGTGTGACACCCCTCCCCCCTCCTCTGCCATTTATTCCACCTGGATATTTTTTGTGTTTTTCCCAAAGAGAGGATTACTTAAAAAATTATCAAGTCCATTTTGATTCTTTTTTTCTCCCTTCCCTTCTTTGGACCTATGAAAGAGCGAATGTGCGGACTTTCGAGCGCCTCACTTGCACCACAGCGGACTAAAGGCTGAATAACTGCATTATTCATTTTTACGCACCGGTTTCTCTTGTCCTCACTCGTCTCTCTGGTTTCTCTCCGTTTTTCTTTCTTCCTCCTTTTGTTCTCGGAAAGGAGCTTCAATATTCTTCTTCTTTATTACAGGGGGAAAGAAACAAACAAAAAAGCATAAGAACTGATTCCCTCCCACTTGGATGAGACTGAAATAATCTCTTCTCCATTCGACTGCAAACAAAGTGAAGAGAACCACCAACAGTTTTTTGGGGGGTGGAGGGATTAGCGCTGCACGGATGGAGAATAACCTCGTGACAAAAGCAACCTGATGGGGGCATTTTGGCCGCTTCTGCCCTCTGGAGCTTTATCCCCGTGCGCAACTTCGCTGGAAACGAACCAGTATTTATTCATTGGCCCTTCGGAGGGTTGCTCAGCCGAGCTGTAGCCAGACGCACAGTGCTGGCCATCATCATCATCATCCCCTCTCCCTCCCCATTTTCTACTCATTGCTACTCCTCTTTCTCTCGATCAGTTCCCCGCCTTTAAATAAAAACTCCAAGAATGATGGACTTATTCCACCGTACTGGTGTCCGCCTTGCGCCCCTTTTCACGCCTTGGAGTCGCCGGACGCGCCGTGAAGATCTCTGAAAGCTATCTGCCTCCCCCCACCCCCCACCCCTCTTTCTATTTCCCCTCTTTCTACCTTCTTCTACCTTTCCCCCACTCCCTCTCTATCTCCCCTGCACCCAAATGAACGTTTTCCCATGGAGGTAGTACGGCCACTTTGGGGACCGAACGAGCAGCGGGGAGATTTTTCCAAGCAAGAGGAGCCCGTCAGTAAGAGGCGCATCGGGTGAAATCGGACCTCCCTCCTTCTTCGCCTCTCCTCCTCTCCCTCCTCTGTTTCTCCATCTCCGCCTCGCACCTCCACCTCTCCGGTTTGCTCGGCTCCCTACATGGGGCTATAGAGGACTGGGGGGAGACCTTGTTGCGCCCCTATAACTGTCGGCTTCTGCTGGGCAGACTGTTTGCACGGCTCCATCCATGTCTCACCAATGCTGCCCCGTGTCTCCAGAGGGAGCCGCATTCATCACCACCACAGCTTTGGGTAAGTCCAATTTATTTAAATTCAGTCCCATAAAAAAGATCTCTCAGATTTCGTCATGTGGAATTTCTTCTTGTGTCACAGCTGCTATAAATGGGTGCAGCTTAAACCCCTCTCAGTGTGTCAGTAATGGGCACAGTCCCAATTCTTTTTCTTCTCTTTGCTGTGTGCTATTCGCTGGTATTGGAGGTGCTGGCTCCAAATTAGACCTCCCCTAGAAAAGGGAACTGCAGCCATTTGACTTTGATTATGTTGAATCTGAGAGGCACAAAACAGAGTTGTGCTGATGTCTGCGTCTTGCTTTGGGTGTCAGAATAAGATGCATAGACGTGCAGTATTTCAGGGGTTTGGGTAAGTCCAGAGCATGTGCTACTTTTTCCTGCAGTACTGAATAACCTCCATCCAACATTTCAGGCTATCCAGGATTTGGAGGCATGACTGTGTGTCAGTAACAGAGATACGCAGTTCATAGATTCTGATGAAATAGTGGGATCATTGCAAATGTGCATTATTAGCATCGTGGCTAGAATTTATTTCATACAGTGAGAGTAATGTTTTCTTTTTTGTACTTTAAATATAAATCGAGTTAAATATTAAAATTGCAATGCAGTCAATCTCAAATATGAATTTTGATGGTGTGTGTGTGTGTGTGTGCGTGTGTGTGTGTGTGTGTGTGTGTGTGTGTGTGTGTGTGTGTGTGTGTGTGTGTGCGTGTGCATATCTGGTTTTGTGTGCATGTATGTACGCCTGCGTGTGTGGATGTTTGTGCATGCGCCTGTCTCTCTTTTCTTTTTCTTTCCAAAGGTTACTAAATGGTTTTCTGGGGGAGGATTTCTAACCGGCGAAATGCTGCTCGTACTCCTGCTGGCAGCCTTTTCTTCTTCTATCTCCGGCTCTCTCGCCTCCTCCCTCTCCTCCCCCTCAATGTCGAACGGACCCCCGATGGCAGACCCGTCCGCCCCGGACTTGCTGGCCGAGACCTGCGTCGCCTGCTCCTGCATGTCGGTGGAAAACGTGCTGTACGTCAACTGCGAGGAGATCACCGTCTATCGACCCACACAGCTCATCCCTCCGGCCTCGTCCCTCTACCACCTTAACTTCCAGAACAACTTTCTGATCATACTCTACCCAAACTCTTTCCTCAACTTCACCCACGCTGTCTCGCTGCACCTGGGGAACAATAAACTGCAGAACATTGAAGGTGGGGCCTTCATGGGGATGAGTGCGTTGAAACAGCTGCATCTGAACAGCAACGAGTTAAAGGTGCTGCGTGCGGACACTTTCTTAGGCATAGAAAACTTGGAATACCTTCAGGCTGACTACAACTTAATACAATACATTGAGAAGGGAGCCTTTAACAAACTGCACAAACTCAAAGTGCTGATCCTGAATGACAACCTCATACAGGCACTCCCCGACAACATATTTCGCTTTGCCTCACTCACACATCTGGATATAAGGGGCAACAGGATCCAGAAACTTCCCTATTTGGGTGTTCTGGAGCACATTGGACGCATTGTAGAGCTGCAGCTGGACGACAACCCCTGGAACTGTACCTGTGACCTAGCACCTCTCAAAGCGTGGCTTGAAAACATGCCCTATAATATTTTTATTGGCGAGGCCATATGTGAAACGCCAAGTGACTTGTACGGGAGGCTCCTGAAAGAAACCAACAAACAGGAGCTTTGTCCCATGGGAACAGGAAGTGAATTTGATGTTAGGATGCCACCTGCACAGCCCTCCAAAACGCCCCCAAGTACTGTGGCTCCCATAGCCACGAAAACGCCAAAAACCACAGACTCATCAAAGTTTTATGGCAATGGGATTGTGGCTGGAAGGAATAACCAGATTGTTTCCTTTCAGTTGTGTCCACAGCCCTGCAGCTGCAAAGCCCACCCTTCTGACTTTGGCATTAGCGTCAGCTGTCAGGAGAGGAATATTAAAAATCTAGCTGATCTCGTTCCCAAACCCCCAAATGCCAAGAAGCTTCACCTGAGTGGGAATTACATCCGTGACATCAATCCGAGTGATTTCCAAGGTTTTGAGGGCTTAGATCTGCTGCATCTTGGCAGCAATCAGATTGTCACAGTCCAGAAAGGTGTGTTTGCTAACCTCACTAACCTGAGGAGACTGTACTTAAACGGAAACATGCTTGAACAGTTGCACCCAGAGATGTTTTTGGGCCTCACAAACCTGCAGTACTTATATTTGGAATACAATGCCATAAAGGAAATCTTAGCAGGTACGTTTGATTCCATGCCAAACCTTCAACTCCTGTATCTCAACAACAACGTTCTGCGGAGTCTTCCTGCTTATGTGTTTGCGGGGATCCCATTAGCCAGACTCAATCTGAAAAACAACCACTTCATGACCCTGCCAGTGAGCGGTGTCTTGGACCAGCTGAGGTCACTGACCCAAATAGACCTGGAAGGGAACCCGTGGGAGTGCTCGTGCGATCTGGTTGCCCTCAAACTCTGGCTGCAGAAGCTGAGTGATGGAGTGGCTGCCAAAGAGGTGAAATGTGCCTCCCCTGTGCAGTTCGCCAACATTGAACTGCGCCTCTTAAAAAATGAGATCCTGTGTCCTCGGATGGCGAGGCCGCCCTTTATTCAGACTGGCGCCACCCCTGTTTTGACATCAGTGTCGCCTGCTGGAGTTGGCAAAGCACCACCGGGAGGGCCCGTGCCTCTTTCAATTATGATCCTTAGCATCCTCGTAGTGCTGATCCTGACTGTGTTTGTGGCCTTTTGCCTTTTAGTCTTTGTCCTGAGGCGGAATAAAAAACCGGTGGGCAGGCAGGAGGGGCTGGGGAACCAGGAGTGCGGCTCAATGTCTTTGCAGCTTCGCCGCCACAGCCACAAATCCGGCAAAAAAGGTTCTATCCCCGGCGATGACTTGGGAGGCGAGACCTTCATCCCTCAGACTATCGAGCACATCGGCAAGAGCCACACCTGTGGGATCGGTCGCTCCTCAGACTTGGATGCCGGCTTCAAATTTGCAGACTCGCAGAGGCAGAAGATCATCCTGCGGAACAGCGCAGACAAGGAGAAAGACATGCTTTCCACTCTGGAGCGCAACAAACGCCTCAGCACCATTGACGAACTCGAGGAGTTTCTCCCCAACCGAGAGCCAAGCATGTTCATCCACAACTTCCTGGACAGCAAAAGAGATTTCAACAGTATAGGGATGGGCGGATATGAAATCCGCTACCCAGAGAAAACGCTGGATAAAAAGATGAAGAAGTCGTCGCTGATAGGCGGGAACCACAGTAAGATCGTAGTGGAGCAGAGGAAAAGTGAGTATTACGAGCTGAAAGCCAAGCTCCAAGGAACACCTGATTACCTGCAGGTGCTCGAGGAGCAGACTGCACTGAGTAAAATGTAGGGACTGTTGTGTTTGATCTGTGCATTGATTACACACACTTCTACAGTATGAAGTCAGCAACATGCAGGCAGACAGACAGCCGAACACATTTCTCTGGCTCTTTGTCCTCTCGAGACACACACACGTCATTCAAACCTTCAGATCTCTCACCCTCTGCCTTCATTTCCCTCTCTGCAGCCACACACACACACACACACACACACACACACACACACATACACATACACCTACACACATACACGCACACACACACACAGACACACACACAAAGCAAAAAAAGTGCCTTCTGGAAATCCTTAATGACCACTGCAGAGATGGACAAAATGGCTCCACACTACAAGGCTATTAGTAGAATAAGCGTGGATGTATTTCACAGTAAAAGACCTTCTGGATTATCAGCCACTCACACGTACGAATCCTGCAAACTTACCATAGGACACCCTTAAAAAAGCAACCAGACATAGTATCTTTTGCTGCTACTGAAATGGGTACTTATCTTCTTCGTATTTTTTTGTTGTTCTTGTTGTTGTTCTTTTTCTTTTACTGTATTTTTTTCCAACCAAATCAAAGGGTCTTGAAACAGTGCTTGAGAATATACCTCGCTGGCTTCAGCCCGTTTTTTAAAAAAAGAAAAAGAGGGAGCGCTGGTTGTTCTTTTTGCTCTGGAACGAATCATGTCTCCTTCTACTGGGATGAGATTAACAGAATCAGTGACTCAATGGATGCTACTTTGCTTTATTCTATTTTATTTTGTTTTTATTTGACCTTTTTTGTGTTGCTGGGATATCTATTTGATCTTGTGGATGCTCTCCGGAGTTGGCTGCAGACTCTCTGCCATCTTGTGTGGATTACACAGCAGTAGCAGTACACCTGCTCTTTGCCGGGAGGCTAAACAGCTCCCGTTTTCCATTCGTGGGAATTGGAGGCACCGCAAAACTCTTTTGGGGGAATGATTTCATGACTTGTTTTCTTTGTGTAAAGAGCCATGTTAAATATAGTGTCTTCTGAATGGAGTTGTGTTTCTCTTTAAAAATTCCTACTTACAGTAACTGTATGTTTTGGGTGAAATCTAATGGCACATACACTGTCAGAGGACGTTTCTGAAAAATGAAAAGAAAAAACAAAACAAAACCCAATGATTAAAAAAAGGAAAAAAAGAAAAAAAAAGAAATTACAAAGCTGCTTGCCATGTAAGCGTAACCTGGAATTTATTTTGTAAGTCTTACATTATTTGTATCTGTGGGACTGGTTTGTAAATTACAAAGAAAGACACACACACACTCATACTGTACGACGGAGCATCATCAACATCAAGAGACTTCATTGCCAGATTGTCCAACAAACCGCTAATATAATTCAATCGGTGACCCGCCTCCCTGTCAGCTCTCAATTCGTAGAAAAAGAATGAAAATTTAACAACATAGTTAATTTATTTTTCTATGCAGGGTTATTTAAAGAGTTATTGGTATTATTTAAGAAGAATAATACGCAAAGAGTGGAAAGGACTTGATAGTGTGCTGCATCTGAGCTAATTCAGTCAATTCAAGGGTTTCTGTTTCTCTCGGTCTGCTGAGGAGCGCCTGCCGGATGAAAGGTTGTGAAATGTGATCTGTGATGTTTCCTTTTTCTTGTGTCGCACGATGAGCAAGAGGCCTGATAGAGTCTGTGACGTTTCCAGCAGTTTCCTTATTCTTATATCTCCCACAGTATCTTGTAAAAGGTTTCTTATTAACATTATGCAACCAAAATAAATGTGCATTAAACTCGATATGCTTCTGGAATTGTTGGACCTGGGAGGAAAAAGGGAGGGAAAGCGAGGGCAAACCGATCGAGGCTCTAAATTGTCGGATCTGGGCCGAACCGTATCGGAAAAACAACCATGTGCAATATTAGCTCAGTCTCCGTTTTGTTTTTAATTTATTTAGTTTGAGATGATATTGTCAGGACAAGTTCTATTTCAAAATTCTTTATTCAACTTAACTCTATCCGGTCCTTATTTAAAAAGTATTGTTAAGTTAAAATTATGAGTGTTTATTGACATTACAAATGAATAGAATGTATCTTGAAAAGTATAATAAATACAATTTTCTATCAGTCATAAATCTCCTGTATATTGGTTAATTTTCTCATGTATAATCATGTTGAAATCAAGGTATTAAAATCAGCACCTCTTTGCACCGTGTCCCCCCTATTTCTTTTAAGCTCGTACATCCTCGTCGTTCTTCGAGGCTGCTTAACTTTCAAGCTTCTGCAAACCCTGCCATTAGCATTTTTTCCTTTCACAGCACACGGTGCAGCGTCTGACAGCTCAGTGTTGGACAAACTAAAGCTGACAGAACGCTGTTCTTGTTTTGTTCGTGTACAAACACTGGCTGCCCTTCAAGCATAATATATAATTGTTTAGTTGCTTAGAAAACTGCCTCTGCAACTTGGGAAAGTCTTGTTTTTTACCCCGAAGGCCATGAACCAGTTCGTGCTTTTCAAGGGAACAGTTTAAGCAACTAAAACCAAGCCAAAATAAAGTCTCCAGCGTGGAAAACTTCATACAAATATGCACATGTGCTGGTTTTTCCTATTTAGATCGCAAAATATTTTGTCCCAAACATCCCCAACTTTTTCTGTCCTTTCAGCTTTTAAGGCAGGTTTCTGAGAGAACACCTGACTTTTTGGTTTTTTTGGCAGGTGTCAAAGTTCCCTCTGTTTATAGACACCCATCAAACATTTATGCCGGTTTCATTTTAGGGTTAAAAATTCAGATTTCCTCTTTCTGTGTTAATCCAAGCTTTTGTGCTTTTGGGAAACCAAGTAGCAGAGAGTATGACTCATCCAGACGCCAGAGAATTGTCCTCATTAATTATTAATACCCATGGCAGTTATGAACTAAAAAAGGGATGTGGGGAGAGAGGTGAGAGATAGGAATGTGATATGTATAACCCTCCAAACTGTCTCCCCCATCCTTCCATCATTCTCCGTCTTTCTCATGTTTGTGATCACACTGCTCTGTAATAAAGCAGAAATATCATTTGGTGCTTAAAAAAAGGCACAAATTGGCTGGAGACGCAGCTTTTCAGTCCAAAACTTTACTGCAGTGACTTGGCTCTCGTGCAGGGTTCCTGGAAGGTCGGGTGGGGGGGTTCTCGAGGTGCCACAACACTAGAAAACGGTGAATTTCTATTGCTTTAATTTACCTCGCGAAAGATTAGCAGGACACAAATGCACGAAATCCTCACGAATGTTTATTTCTTTTTTCCTTTCTCTCCTTTCTGCTGTTATCATCCCACCTGCTGCAGAGACAGTTATGCAATTCTGTTCTGAATCCTAACTCTTAAAATCATCTCTGCTGTGCCTCACTGTGTATTTTTATCTGATGGGGTGGCTCTGCAAAAACTACGCCTTTCTGAGGGGAAGGATTTAAGGGGGAGACAGTTGGTAAAAACCCTGCTGGAAGACGTCTGTAGCATGCTTTAATATGGGGAATGGCCACAAGGGGCGCTCTAAGCTAAGAACACAGAAGTGAAATAGTGTGAGTGGACTTCAGGATCACTGATGTTTGAAGGCGTTTGGTTAAAAGAAACCACTGATGTTTTATTCTACTTGTACTCTTGCCTTATTATTATTTTTCTAAGATTTGAAGTGAACTGAGATTTCAGAGGCCCCACAACATGATGACTGTGCCTATTTATATGACCAGGAGTTAATAATAGGTGCAACCATCAGATAAATAATACTAATAAAAATGAGGAAGTAAAATAAAGTAATGCTTAAAAAAGCCCATATGTTCAGTGACTATTGATTATTCTGCATAATTATTATGCCACTGCATTCACAGTGATTTGCAGTCTGTGAGCAGCATCAAGATGATTAATCTCTTCACATCCACCACACAACACGCAGAGTGACAGATGTGAACCAGACACTAAGTCAAAACTAAGTGACCTGCTGGATGCTAAGAGGTTCACCCTCAGAGGTCCAAGGAGTCATTTTTCTATGTGCGTCAGAATATTTGTTATTTTTTTCCTGATTGAACAGAGTTGGAAAAACAGCTGCCTGAGCTTTAACTTGTGGTTGAAAAACAAACACCTCTAACTCTCACCGCAGTCTGAGTGTTTGTTTGTTTAAATCTTCAGCTGTTTCATTTCAAACTGTTTGGCTAACTACAGAGTCTCAAGCAAAAAGAGGACCTGTGTCACTATGCCTAAGAGCCACAACTACAAGTAGTGCACCAACAAAACCATATCAGTATCTTTTTGCCATTAAACATCTTAGAGTTTGTATGAGGATATAATTTATTCTGTGTCGACCAGAAAACTCTGAACCCTTTGTGCCGTTTAGCTAAAACTGCTAAACTGTGTTGCATTGTAAGGGCACAATTGGTGTTCTCCAACGGCGCGTTTTGGCAGAACTTGAACGCAGCCTGAAGGTTTTGTTAGGATGCAAATTGTCAATCATTAAAATTCAATTCAATTCAATTCAATTCAATTCAATTCAATTTTATTTATATAGCGCCAAATCACAACAAAAGTCGCCTCAAGGCGCTTCATAGATACAGAGAAAAACCCAACAATCATATGACCCCCTATGAGCAAGCACTTTGGCGACAGTGGGAAGGAAAAACTCCCTGTTAACAGGAAGAAACCTCCGGCAGAACCAGGCTCAGGGAGGGGCGGGGCCATCTGCTGCGACCGGTTGGGGTGAGAGAAGGAAGACAGGATAAAGACATGCTGTGGAAGAGAGACAGAGATTAATAACAGATATGATTCAATGCAGAGAGGTCTGTTAACACATAGTGAGTGAGAAAGGTGACTGGAAAGGAAAAACTCAGTGCATCATGGGAATCCCCCGGCAGCCTACGTCTATTGCAGCATAACTAAGGGAGGATTCAGGGTCACCTGGTCCAGCCCTATCTGCTTTAGCAAAAAGGAAAGTTTTAAGCCTAATCTTGAAAGTAGAGATAGTGTCTGTCTCCCGAATCCAAACTGGAAGCTGGTTCCACAGAAGAGGGGCCTGAAAACTGAAGGCTCTCCCTCCCATTCTACTTTTAAATACTCTAGGAACAACAAGTAGGCCTGCAGAGCGAGAGCGAAGTGCTCTAATAGGGTGATATGGTGCTACAAGGTCATTAAGATAAGATGGGGCCTGATTATTTAAGACCTTGTATGTGAGGAGCAGGATTTTGAATTGAATTCTGGATTTAACAGGAAGCCAATGAAGGGAAGCCAAAACAGGAGAAATATGCTCTCTCTTTCTAGTCCCTGTCAGGACTCTTGCTGCAGCATTTTGGATTAGCTGAAGGCTTTTCAGTGAGTTTTTTGGACATCCTGATAATAATGAATTGCAGTTGTCCAGCCTGGAAGTAATAAATGCTTGAACTAGTTTTTCAGCGTCACTCTGAGACAGGATATTTCTAATTTTAGAGATGTTGCGCAAATGGAAGAACGCAGTCTTACATATTTGTTTAATATGTGCATTGAAGGACATGTCCTGGTCAAAAATGACTCCAAGGCTCCTCACAGCATTACTGGAGGCCAAGGTAATGCCATCCAGGGTAAGAATCTGGTTAGATACCATATTTCTAAGCTTTTCAGGGCCGAGTACAATAACCTCAGTTTGATCTGAATTAAGAAGCAGAAAGTTAGCGGCCATCCAGGTCTTTATGTCTTTAAGACATTCCTGCAGTTTAACTAATTGGTGTGTGTTATCTGGCTTCATGGACAGATAGAGCTGGGTGTCATCTGCATAGCAGTGAAAATGTATGCTATGTCTTCTAATGATACTGCCTAAGGGAAGCATGTATAATGTAAACAGAATTGGTCCTAGCACTGAACCCTGTGGAACTCCATAAGGTTCCACAGGGTTCAGTGATCACCTGTCTTGGTTCCTTTTTTTTTAACAGCGTCTAACCAAATAAATACAGCCTTACAGGGGGGTTAATGTCTGAGACGGCTACGTGTTGGCTTCCGTTGTTGTCTGTGCCTAAAGTGTGCTCTCTCACGTCCCTGTGGGGTTTTTAGTTTGTCTATACATCACTGAGACATTGTGTTAATGTAAATGATCTGTTGTAGATCCGAATTTCATCGCCGAGTCTAATTACTTCACCTTTTTTCATTTTCTTCTTATTTAAAAATGAGCACGAACACACATTTCACATTAGTATATTAATAGCCCGTGTAGAAATCTATTTCCTGCAGTGTAAATTTGCATATCGTAAAACAAATGTCTGCCCTCCCTTTCTTATTTGTTCCAAGCTTTCCTTATGCATCTTGTGGCAACAGAAGAGAAGAATTAAGCTACATCAGTTTTTCACTGCACCAGTCGGCTTCTCATGGATCATTTTAAACAGAAGTGATGAACCAAATGCTTCTTGGTTTGGAAGCAATAAAACTTTTCTTGTTTACAAATTTGAGCTGCTAGTTTTGAACCACTTTAACCCGTCTTATTTAAATTCTTGAATAATTGTATTTTGTTCATATTGGGTGAAATATTTCAAGATCAAATGGAAATATTTGATTTTCCTTTATCATCTGATAACCATAATTCTTATAGGTTATAATGCTAATTATCATATTCTAAGGTTTTATACTTGGAGGATCACCAGTGTGGGTTTAAAACATCATTTTCCCTCACATGTACATCCTGTACTGTGCTTCCTTTTGCGTTTGGCTGACATGCATCTTTAATGATGTATGCTCGGGTTATTTTGTCAATGTGCTGTTTAATATTTTCACTCGTCATAATTAACTGTGTTCAAGTTGAGATATAATCTGGAACTGGAAATAATAACCCCGATGTAGTGATGTCATGTGGATCATCAGGGTTGGGGAAAGACTTTGAGGGATGGATTGTGAAACACACACCAGGGAACCCATCAGGTCTTCTCGTGGCGTAGCCTTCTCAGGGCAGCAGCCAGTTTTTAGGGCCTGCAGGTGTCATCAGCAGATATTCAGGGAAGAGATCGCTCACTGTCCTCTGATCATTATGAATTTAGACACATTTGCAAAGATCATGATTTGATTTTGAGATTGTGTTTTTACCAGATACAGCCCATTTTTGCTTTTATTGGCTATTTTTCTACATGCAATCTAAATATGCACCAACACAGGAA